ATGCAAGGGACAAATTTGTCATTTCAACCTCAAAGATCATTTCAAACACATTTTTCAATACAACAACTCAAATAAAAATCCATCATATCTTTCCAAACACAAAAACTAAAATAGTATAGTCAAAAAGCCTCTAAAATAGCCACTTTCCAAACACCCACATAATACATAATTAAACAATAGAGGGTCAAAATGGTCATTTCACTACCTAATCTCTTATCTCCTTATCCCTCCATTTGTGTCCCACCCCTCCATGGGACATAATAGTCCAATGGATTTGGGACTATACAAAAATTTTGAACCAAACAACGGACTATTAGGCCTCGTTTGGAAACATACTGTTTTAGTAACTTTTTAACTAAAATATGATATTAAAAAAATTAGTATGTTTGGGATGACTTTTTTGCTTTTTACGAAAAGATGTGCAAAAAGTAGAGAGAAAAGAGAATCTTTGACTTTTTGATATGAGTTGTTGGTTTTTTGATTTTTTTTAGTGACTTTTTAACTTTTTGACTAAAATAATCACTTGCCAAACGAGGCCTAATTGATGCATATAACATTATTTTTTAAAATTCCACCATTTGAATGCTGTTAAAAAGAAAAGTGATTCCTAATTTACCATTTTAGGAAAAGTCAATATCCTAAACTCAGAGAGAATCAAATCCATTCCTGAAACTAAGCACTTGGATGAGAATTGTCTACATAAAATTCCTGAATTATCCAAGTACTTCAATGAAATTACCCAACCATCAAATTACTGAAAATGAGATTCCTAACAATAAGATACCATTGCCCTCTCTAAAAATAAAAAAACACCAATCCGACACCATTCCTTAACTTTGGAACCTGTCATTCAAGCATAGCCTAACAAGATTCACGTGAGAGCACCTGTGTGCATGTGGATAGAATAAGCTATAACATAATTAGTGCAAGTCAAAGGATGAACCAAGTCCATCTAGCAAATCTGTCAAGTTTCAAAGGATGCTTACTAACATCATTATAAAACAAGTGATGACATTTTGGCAAACAAAACCCACGCGGTAAACCGTCAATGGCAAACAAGACAAGACAAGGCAAGACAAGGGAGATATCTCAATTCGATGGTGTCGTTGCATTATAGTCCCCGGACACTAAGGACTTGTGCTACTAACGCTTAGAGTCCCTTAGCACATACGGACTTCCAAACTTTGTGCTACAAATGCTTATAGTCCCTTAGCACGTACGGACTTCCAAACTTTGTGCTACAAATGCTAATAGTCCCTTAGCACGTACGGACTTTCCAAGAATGTCATCAAAACAAGATATATATATATATTTTTCGATTAGGGGTAACCATTCATGCTTACAAATACTTTCCAAAACAAAACAAAACAAGACTTTTATCAAAGCATTATAATATAGCTTTATTAAAAATATCACTCACTTAGTTCTTCAAACGTCGGGGTCAAAGCAAGTCCAAACCCTACAAACACATGGCAAAGTCTGTTGAATGCACTTTCAAACAAGTTTCACATGCATGCAGATGATCTCGGCATTGCTCAAGACTAGGTCAAATCGAAACAAACACAATTCTTTATCTCGGGAAAACGTGCTGGGCAACTACCAGGTCCAGGCCGAGGTCCCACACCTCCTTGCCGAGGTGTTGCCTCGATGGCCACACTCAACGGAATGAAGTCGGAAAAAATCTGGGTTTCCCTTTCTTGAAGAACATGATGAACATGAAGAACATGAACATGAAGAATATGAACATGAGGGAGATGAATGCAAAGATCGTGATTTGCTATTACAAAATCTGAGGTTTCATGCTATGAGTTCAAAAACATGGACCTGGGCAGCCATATTCAAGGATCTAGTGAGAACAAACACGAAAACATGAATCTTAATGCAGACTTTCAGATCAAACAAGACCTTTTTTCTTCAAGAATACATGAAAACTATTTTCTCTTTCTAAACCAACTTTAAATCGATGCATGACATGCAGAACAGGTTCGATCGTGCAATGCAGCTAGGTGACCAATAAGAACGACAAGAGTAATTCAAGAATCTAACCTCAATACGCGAATCTATCGGTTCGATTTCTAGGAATCAAGCTCGAAAACCCACTCTCTCACTCTAAAACTTCTTCTTCTTCTTCTAGAGCTTCTCTCTCCTCACAAACGAAGACATATAGCAAAATGATACATTCAAGGTCTGCTGGCTGACTTAACCCTCTACAGGGGCACGTGACAGCGGCTGGTTGGTGATACGCAAAAAGGTGGCTGAGTGACAAGACAAAATTATGACAAAGTGTGTTCAACAAGCAAGGTGGCATGGACACTCTGGCGGGTAATGATTTCGGCTAATAACAAGACATCGGCAAGTAGGGTAACAATGATCTCGGCTAGGAAGGACAACACTTGACTAAGCTGTGCCACACCTTGGCCTAGATGTGCCACACCTCGGTCTAGGTCATACCTCTCCGGGACAAGATCACTTAGGTGCAAAGGCAACATCTCGGCCTAGATGATTCACACCTCGGCCTTGGTGATGAACACCTCGGCCTAGATAATGACATCTCGGCCAATATGTCAGGGTGAAGGTGGAGGTCAAACAAAGTGGTTCCAAGATAATCCTAGACTGAAAATGACTTCGGCTAAACCCAAACCAAGCAAGGTACAAAACATACTGTAACACTTAACGAACAAGGACAAGACTCGAAATGCAAGTTTACAAGACAGAATCACACGAATGCATTTGAGTATGGTTAGGATAGCGTGAGGGTTATTATAGAAAATGACCTATCACTTGTTAACGCTTCTCATCTATCCATCTATCTATCTATATGGCTTGCATAAAACTCTCTCTCCTTTTATCAAGTGACTTTCTTTCTTTGCATCAAGTGCCAATTTTTCTATTTAAAAAGAAAAAAATATAGTAGTCACAAGTAGAGTATAAGACTTGAACCTATAACTATTGTATTTCCAATTCAAATTTTTATTTTTTAAGCATACCCATTGGGTGGGCTTACACCTCTAGTACTATTATAAATGGGGTGTTTGGGAACTCAAAGTTGAGGCTAAAATAGCCTCAAATACAAAAAAAAAAGCCAAATAGCCTCAAATAGTACCCTAATTTATATTTATATAAAAAATAAAAAAAACCAAAGCAGCCGGCAGTGGGCAGAGGGTAGGCAGAGGATAGGGCCAGCCTAGTCCCACAGGCTGAAATGTCACTTTTGTCGCTATAGACCAATTTTGGAAAAAATGAAGGGACAAATTTGTTATTTCACCCTCAAATATTATTTTAAACACATTTTTCAATACAATAACTCAAATAAAAATTCATCATATTTTTCCAAATACAAAAAATTAAAATAGTCTACTAAAATAGTCAAAAAAACCTCTAAAATAGTCACTTCTGAACACCTACAAAGTAAACACCTTTGGTGGTTTTCTGAAACTTCTATCTCCTTACATCAAGTGTTTATTTATTTTTATTCAAAATAAAGAAAAGAAAAGAAAAGAAGCACCTCTTTTTATGCTAAGTGTCCATTTCTTCATTTTAAAAAAAAAAAAAAATTTTAAAAAATAGATAAAGGAGAGGCATGAGACTTAAATATCAAACATTTTATTTAAAGAAAATTTTATTATTTGAATGACACATAATATATAATAAATATTTTATTTATTTTTATTCATTAAAATTACAAACGCATCGATTGTGAGAACAGCTAATTTGAATTTACGAGAGAACAAAAGCATATCTATTGTGGTAGAATAGAATCCTTCTGGAAGTAGAGTTGGAATCCGAAATGTTCTTGACCACAAATTCGAAATATCAGAGTACATGAAATATATAATCAGAAACACAATTTCCATCACTAACCGATTACTTTCACAAACTATGAATGAACCCCATTTAATTAGAGTTTTGCACTATGTAACTAATAAATTATTTACAAAAATGAGTCTAAGTATGGTATGAATTGAAACATTAAGAAAATTTAATATATTATTCTAAAATTATAGAATTTGTTATTTTTTTTTTTCAAATCTCCGAGGAAGTCAATGTAATTTATTCAAAAAGTTATTAAGAGTGTGGAAGGTAATAGTTTGTGAAATGTACATGAGATCATATTAGAGTACATTTGAGATTTTAAAATATGAAAGAATAGTAAAACATTGAGCTAATACAAACTAATTCAAGTCATTTTAGCTCTATTAAAAAGAAGGTAAGTTGTATTTCCTTTAAATCTCACGAGATGTCAATATAATTTGCTGTAATTTTTTTTCCATCTTACACACTCGTATCGATTTTTTTCTAGCGTCCTCAATATCACAATGAATAGCCTTCCTTGCATTTTTCCAAGAAAAAACAAAAGAAAAGAAAGAAAAATAAAAAATATTATGAACCCCACTTTAAGTATCTCGAATTTACCTTGAATGAGTGTTGTGTGATTGAAATTGAATTTGTGTAGTGTATGATTTATGTATAGAATAAATTTAAATCACAAAATGATAATTCTAGATAATTTATGAATACTTAAGTCTAGTTTGTAATATTACCAAAGAAAAATGGGTAAACTGAATATAAATATAAAGTGAGAGAATAAATATAAATATTGGGGCCAACAGTGCACAAAGCTATTTAATAAAAGGGTAAATTATAAATATATCCTTTGAGGTTTACTTAATGTACAGATTGCCTCCTATGGTTTAGAAAATTATAAATATCTTATTGTTAGTATTTTTTATTTAATAAAATTAATTAAAAAAATTCATAATTACTCTCTTATACAATAATAAAATTATCTAAACTATTAATTGAAATATATTTCTAACATCATTAAAAATTATTAATTAACTTAATAATTTATTAATAAAATGAACAATTTATTATGAAATTAAAAATCTTAGCCTGAAATATAATTTTTAAAATTATAAAAAGTGAATTCGTATTTTAATCAAATATTGGGTGTATTTGTAATTCACCTTAATAAAAAGTTGCTCAGGAAATATATGCCCGGTGTTCATCACTGAGAATTTCAGAACGAAAGTAGAACAGTGGACAGAAGAGAAACCCAAAAATGCTTCTCAGCAGCAAACCTTCGATGATCACTCAATCTTTGGCTTTAACAAACCCTAAAATCAACCCTACGTCGATCTCGACCACCACGACCACCATCAAGTCCATGATCAATGATAGAAGCTCACAGAGAAGGCCAAGGTTGTCCGCTCTTGAAGCACGAGTCTCTCTCGTCTTCGCTCTCGCTGCCCAAACCTCTGCTCTCTCTCAGCGCCGTAAATGTTCACACTCGTCGATTTTTTTCTTTCCATTTTATTTGTGTTTTCAATTTATTATGAGTCTCTATATTCGGATTGATATGATTTTTGAATTGGGATTTCTTGTAGTTTTGATGGATTTGGCGACTGAAACTGCTAAGTACGTGAATCCAAAGAGGTTCGAGAGTCGTAATTTAGAGGAAGCTTTGATGGCAGGTGCTAATCTATTTATTTATTTTTTTAAATTTTATTCTTTTTGGTGGGTTTTGATAGATGATTGAGATTTTGGGTTTTTCTTCTTGTGATTTTAGGGGTTTTTGTATATTTTTATTTTTTATTTTTGCAGTTCCAGATCTTGAAACGGTGGAGTTTAAGGTTTTGAGCAGGAGAGATCAGTATGAGATAAGAGAAGTTGAGGTATGAATTGGTTTCCTCTTTCTATTTCACCTTTTATGTATGAAACCCTCAAAACTCTGATTAATGATATGAACAAACTGAAACATTTTATGAATGTTGTGTGTGTACTTTGAGCCCCTCTTGCTTCCTTTTAATGATGTAGAATACTTCTAACTTTTCAATATTGTTCTATGAAAAAAACATCAAATGAAACCATATTTGTAAATAAAGTTGGAGACTCTAGTGATCATGTTTGATAGCTTCCCTTTCACAATTTTGAATGAGGCATCATGGACTAGATATTCATCATTCAACACAATTGTTCTTTGTATTAACAAACTCCCAAGAAAATGTAACAAGATCAATTATGATTAAACTACAATTTCCAAAACTATGCTATGTAGCCAACCCCAATCCACTTTGTTGAACGGTCAACTAATAACCCACGAACTCTTAAAAAAAATAAATAATAATTGTGGGTAAGTGAGGTTAGAGACGGTCGTTCGTTGACCTCTGGGAAGATGATGGGCACTTCAGTGGCCTAGGATTACCTGAGGTAGAGTAGGAGAAGATCAAGGCAAGCTTGGAGATAGAGAGAGTGGCAGTGAGAAACCTTGAACACTTTTGGGTTTACGTTGTGATGTATATGTGTTGTTGTTCTTCTTCTTGTTGTCATTCCGTTTGTGGCTGCATTTATGATACCATTATATAGACTCCAGGTGTATTAGAGACCAAGTAACCTATAAACAGGTGACAAGTTCTCCTTAACTCGACAGGAGGGTGATATCAGCCCTACAAGCTGTGTTCTATGATTCAGGTCCTTGGAAATGTTGTATAATAGGAGCTGTAGGTGTTGCTATGATATCTAAGGGAAGTGTATCATATATGCAACATAATGTGAATGTAAGGTCAACGTCCTCTCTCTCCAAGCATGGTCAAGGTGGAGCTGTCATTGCATAGAGATGGTATACCTATGAACTTCGATCCATCCCATGGACCAGATCTCCAGTGAGGCTTCAAACCGTTCCAAACAATAGCTTGTGGCAGTGTATCTTGTGTAATTACTTCCACAAAATTCCCAGGCGATGGGTTGTCATGTGTTGTTGTGTTGTATATGTATTGTTGTTCTTCTTGTTGTCATTCTGTTTGTGGCTGCATTTGTGATACCATTATATAGACTTCAGGTGTATTGGAGACCAAGCAACCTATAAACAGGTGACAAGTTCTTCTTAACTTGACAGGAGGGTGATATCAACCTTACAAACTGTGTTCTATGATTCAGGTCCTTGGGAATTTTGTATAATAGGAGCTGTAGGTGTTGCTATGATATCTAAGGGAAGTGTATCACATATGTAACATAATGTGAATGTAAGGTCAACATCCTCTCTCTCTAAGCATGGCCAAGGTGGAGCTGTCACTGCATAGGGATGATATACCCATGAACTTCGATCCATCCCATGGACCAAATCTCCAGTGAGGCTTCAAACCGTTCCAAACAATAGCTTGTGGCGGTGTATCTTGTGTAATTACTTCCACAAAATTCCTAGGTGATGGGTTTTCATTTGTCTGCCACGAAGTCAGGAAGCGTTTCTTGCCTGTTTGTAGTTCATCCCTATCATCATACCAGACAAGAAAGTGTTACTAGGGTATTTAAAACTTTCCCACAGGATCGATCTTGAGACATTGTCTTGAAGAACAAAGTCCCCCTTATCAGAAAGCACTGCAATTGTGTTATTTGACTGGACAGAGACATTTGTAGACCAGAGATTGTTCATCTTCCCATATAATAATCTCAGATTTCCATTGCTGCCAATTGTGAGACTCGAGGCATTGTCTGTGGCTCAAAGAGGGTTTTCTCTGTTTAATACCCGCAAAACTTTCTGGCCAGGTGCATTCTTGTACCAGACTCCTATGTATTGTTTACTAGAATTGGCAGGAATGAAGAAGCCTAGCTCAAAGATTTGGCCTTGAGAAATAAGAGTTTGTCCTACAGATATTGGTTGGAACTGAGTTAAAGTATCAGTTGTTGCACATTGTGATGGAATAATCAAGAAACAAAAGAGCAATGGGAATGAAACAAAAGAATAAGCAGGACTATTTCTGGTACCCATTTGGCTTTGTCACCTACAATGTTGAGGGCTAAGGCTTTTTTCATTCCCTAGCTGCCATGATTGATGTATTGAGATGCCTAAGTCAGTAGTAAACTACAAAAATTGGATCTGATTGAATAGTCTTGAGAGTTGAATGCTATACAAATCAAAGGGCGATGACTTTTACAATAACATGAATTAAATAAGATGTTTGTAAAAAACCTCTCGTCAAAGGAAATTTTTGTAAGTCATGGAAATGAAATCATGGCGGCTGAGGCATTCTTCTGATCAAATGAAAGAGCAAATAAACAAAAATAAAGTGCTCTTCATGACACTGAAAGGCTAGCCAATGAAGTTTTATAAATAATATTAGGGTAAATTACACTTTGCATCCTTGCAGTTTATACCAAATCTCACTTTGGCTCCCACACATGAAAACATGACAGTCGACTCTCTACATTTCTAGTCAAATCCCACTTTGGTCCTTACACAAGTGTCAATATTCCTCTTCTGTTACTTTATTTTTAAATCTTTAACAAAATTCAGTTATGTGACAAAAATGTAACTACGAAAATGAGGGTAAGAGAGAACATTCATCCATGTTTTCCACTAATACACTTTTTCTTACATGATAAACACATGAAAGCTATATAATACAATATATATATGTTCGTATGGTAAAAATTGGGACGAAAAGGAAAGAAAGTAGAGTTCTTGAAAAAAAAAAAAGAATGTGACAAAGAAATCAAAGAGTTAGGTGCTTGACACGGGATCAGGGTAAACACGTCTGTCAACAGTTTACTGGGAACTAGGCCTTAAAAGCAATCACTGCAATAGCGGCCCTAAAACCCCATATGTGACTTGGATGACGTCCCACTTACCCATAATCGGATCAGCCCCTAATTAACACAAACCCAGGAATCCTACGACCCATTTTATGATCATACTAAACTCAAATTATGCCATATATGGTCTCATATATTGTTCTACTGTTGAGGAGGAGGCCTATGCCGCCAAGCATCAGATTTCTTCCTCGATCTGTTGTTCTATTAGAGCTATCTGATGATCAAGCTCTTCAAGCACTGGTATAATAGATGGTTGCAAATAATTATCTGAAAGTAAATTTAAATATAAAGAACGTCTATGCTTATGTAATTCTAATATATCACATAAATAGGCAAGTAATACAACAGGCATTAATAAAAGAAATACTTACAAAAAATTAGTTCCTTTAGTTCTAGGCCAGAAAAGGATATTCAACCAGTTAATATCAAACCACCTTTAGAGGTTTTAAACTTTCTAAACTTTAAACTTAAACCTCTTTAAAAGCATGATGAGCTTATTGATGTTATTGTCAGTAAAATGAACATTCGAATAAGATCTTCTAGTCAACAGATTAATATGCTTTCTCGGCATCAGTCTAACCCTCTAACAAACAGTGAAGAAGTTGATGACATCATGTCATAACAAATCTTTGAAATCGAGAATAGTTTCCAGGAAATGCAATCTGTCAACAAGACTTATTTCCCTCAACAAGCCACTCGTATGGCTTTAATAGGATTAAGTCGATATTACTATTCCAGACCTACCCCTTAGGATATACTTTATGAAGAAGATTTTTTTCACACCCAGAAGTCCTATAATGGGAAGACCATTTATGAAAGGAACATAGATGGTAAATCAGAATACTAGATTTTTGAGACTATCCACCAGATACTTATGTATGGTATTATTTGTAAATAAAATGATATTACAGACAGCCAGATAGCACGGTACATTGTGAATGGATTTACTGGCATTCTTAAAGGATGGTGGGACAATGTTCTCACACCTACTCAACAGAGTGAAATTCTTAACTCTGTTAAGATTGAAATTGATCCAGCTACTGGTACTACCGGAAATAGGGAAGATGCTGTCTATACCTTAACCCAAACAATTCTCCGTCACTTTGTTGGACCAGAAGTTTGCTAATAGCGATCGCGGTTGTGAACTTCTCCAGAATTTAAGATGTCCATCCTTGACTCACTTTAGATGGTATAAGATGTTTTCCTGCTCAAAGTTATGCAGCGAGCATATGTTAACAGCAAATACTGGAAGGCTAAATTTATTGATGGCCTCCCTAATCTCTTCGCTGAGAAAATCAAAAAGAAACTTAGGGATCGTCATAATGGAATGATTATTCCCTACAACCAGTATACATATGGCCAACTCATTGGCCTTATTATTGAAGAAAGTCTTTCTTTATATAACGACCTTAAGCTCTAGTATCTTATGAAGAAGCAAAACCTTACAGGCAAAAAAGAGCTTGGTGAGTCTTGCGATCAATTCGCTTATGACACCAAGATTCAGTATCGTAAGTGAACATAGATGAGCCAAGGATCCAACTATGTTGCCATTGAACTGGAGCGAGTGGGCAAAGAATACATTTTCATATGAGGCATGAAGGACCATGGAGTGCTCTAGGTGAGCCATGGTGCTACTTCATACTTTGACTGATTTGCCTTTGAGCTAGTTTCATGTTTGTAGTGTGCATGCCCCCACTAAGGCTAGGTAGACAGCCCCAACTCATTGTGGTGCCTCGGAGGTCTGACACGTTGATGTGTGATGGCGATGACATCACACCCGTAGGGCTTGTTACGTGCCAAGCACGATACAAATACCCACAATAATATTAACTACTTTATTACTATTCAATAAAAAAATTACCTAACTGACTAGGAGATTAATGGATGAATGATTGTTTGATTACGTACGATGAAAATGATGTATTTGGTAGTATTAATAACAAAGTTGCCATGCAATAATTTCAAAATGTGAAATACAATTGAGGGCAATTGCAAAAGTTCATGTATCTACATGAATTTTTGTTAGAACAATGGTATTAATATACTGTGATTTGAGAAGTTTATAGTGGATTTGTAAGATGTAAGT